CCCCCCCCCCCCCCCCCTTAGCATTACCCCAGCCCGGGTACGGTACCTGCGTTGTCCTCCAGCCGGCCATTGAAGGTAGCGCCAGTCAAAGTGCATCCATCCAGGGTCATAATAAGGCAGGTAGGTAGGTAGGTAGGTATGTAACGAAGTAGAGAGGCATTTCTTCTGATGAATGGCAGTGATTAGGTGGATTTATGAGTGTAGAACTACCTAGGTAAGGCAAATACTTCATTGATCATGTCTCAAATGGCATAGACAATCTTGGACCATATAGCAAATCTCTATGCCATGAGCAGTAGACCAATATAATACCTCCTTGGGTACACTGCCAAACTACCGTACCTAGGTAGATCTAGGATGGCATTGGGCCAATCAATAAATGCCAAATACAACGCGATATCAACTGACGTCGATACGGTTTCCGGTGCGGCTTCACAAGCGGGCTTCTAGACAATATCTCTGATCGCAATCTCCCTCAACGATGTTGTATGTATGATGATTGCACTGATTCGACCTCTGATAAACCACTTTGTCACTTCCAAGGTTTGGTAGTCATACACAGCCGGAAAGATGCCTGGGTGGTGCATATCGTGCAATGCTGACGAAGTCTCCTGCTACTGAATACGCAAGGTAGACACTCGGAATGTCGAGTCCCCCATCATATCGGCTGTCCTTTGTGACTAACCCAGACTTGTCCACTACATGATCATGGTGATCGCGCAGACTCACTGGAATCAATGCACTTGTCGAAGGTTATGCCCGAGCAAGTGATTTACGATAGGTAAGCGTCTTAACGGTGGAGATTGCAAGAGGTTAAAGAATGGCAGGTACGTGATGTGGCATGAAGGAAGGTGCTTCCGGTTGGGCGACTTGCAGCATCCTGCACCTTCCGCAGGAGATCCCTATGTACCAGGCTATCTACCCTTTCCTTGCACAAGCTTGGCGAGTCGAGCGACAAGGCGAGGTCTTTCCCTGTCATAACTCGAACCTGTTCGCTGGCTTGTACTTTATCTTGAACACCTCATCCACCTCGTCACGCATGCGCCAACCAGTGCCGCATCTGCTCAATACACCGCGAACACTTCATTCAGGGCACCTTTCTAAGAACAGCTTCCCTCCGGTTCAAAACACCTAGCCCAGTGCCTACCTACCGCCTCGACTCTGGGTAGCTAGTTGGCTGCCCCAGTGAAGATGTCTGATAATCTGGTTTCTGATGCCAGTCTCTTGAAATGTGTTGTGACCGCAGTTGTACGCCTCTCCCTTCAATATCCTTCGGGCTCGTCTCGACTAGGTGTCTCTTCATATCATATCTGTCTCTTTCTGCTTTCTTGTTTAGCGGTCTGCTAACGGCAGTCTATCTCAAAGCTGAGTAACATTTTATTGGCAAGGTACTTGATCACAATCTCCCAGTCAGCACTTCGCCGGTACAGCTGACTAACAAGCCATGCGTCGATAGGGACATGTTTCCCCTCCAGTGCTTCCAAGTCATTCCGTGGGAGGTGTTTACCAAACCTGACCGAACCCACAAACTCCTTCTGAACGCGGGAAGACCCATCACAAACAAGGATCCGGGACTTTTCTCCAAATCTAATATCGTGTACCTCCGGCCCTATCAAAATCAACGCTTTCAGATCTTCCGAGATCTTCTGGTGAAGAACACTTCTACTTCCCTCCATTGACAGTGTTGTACTGATCGCTTTGCACAGGAGAGAGATATTTTCCGTATGCTGGAATCTCAGGAATTAGACAAAGTGCAGCTTTCATTACTTGACTCCAAGGATGCGGACAATGCGAGGCTCTTGGAACAGTACACAATGAAGATCCAATACCGCCAAGACGGTCGTACAAATATCTTCGTCCATTGGCGGGGTCGTGGCCACTCCCAAATGGTCTCCCATGATGGTGATCAGACAGACCAACAATTTCACAACTTGCAAGTCTTCGTTGCAGAGCGGCCCTCTATTGATGGTATTTACTCTGACTAGCAAGACTGCTCGGCGCCGCTAATTTCGAATAGCTCCTGCGTATTTTTTCACCTCCTTCACGACCAAGGACAGGCCTGAGACTGAGATGAAATGGTTGTATGACAGATTGCAAAAGGAATTTGAGCTTGAACTTCGACAGCAGCGGGACTATTGTGAAAAGCGTGTTGCGGTCTTGGGGTATGCCTTTCAGCAGCTGGTCCCATCGTTTCTGACATGTGATTACTGACGACTTACAGTGTTCTCGATATCGAGGTCGAATCGGCAGAGGATATCTCAAAACTACGAAAGTCAACGGGGCTTATTCGCGCCTCAGACACCAAATCATCAATGCATATGGCTAAGAGTCAATCTGTCGACTCACCCAAAGTGGAAAAGGATCCCCCAGTACCTTCTTCGGAAAGAGGACGGTCCATGGGGATATCTGAAGCGACGGATCCCTTTGAACAGGAAGAATTTCTCTTTGTGAGCGTCCCGATTTACTCTCGCGGCATGCGTTTCTGACACGACATTGAGCCCATTCGAGAGAAGAAAGACGCCGATTTGCCAACAACTCAAGAACTCGGAAGTCAGAGTCAACTGCAGGACAGGCGCTCAATGTTAGATGGAAGCGATATCGACGATTTACTGCCACTGCTCCCAGAAACACCTGATAGCCGTTGCTCGTATCTAGCTACGCGCCCCCCTAGAGTTGATGCTGGACGTTTCAGAGAAAGCACCGTATCTACTTATAGCCGCCATGAGCTCGAGGTAGCAAGGTCGGAGACTCGATCGCTCTGTGTAGGAGATCTCACTTCGGATACGGATAGTACGGATAGCATTTGAATGCTTTAGCCTAGTCTACATTCAAGGATGCTCCACGAACAAGTAAAATCCTCAGACGTAGTCAATCGCCCTGGAATCTGCCAGTCAGCGCCGACAACGATAGAGTTTAAGCAATTGCAAACATGATACACAAGTACAGGATTTTGCTAGTAATTATGACTGCGGTCGACGACATAATGATGAATGGTTAATACAATGGGGTCATAACTGCGGTATGTTAGCTGCATGTGGATGCGAGCTCAGGGGGCGATCTGTTCAGATAGAAGTATAATTCAAATAATGTGAATCTCTACACATGATTGCATCTATATTGTCTTTGATACACCTGCGACCACCCACCCCTTCGGCCGCGACTTGATTAGTTAGAAGCAATATGCCGCGACAGATTTCCCAAAACGCCGGTATTGAACACATCCCAATCCCAAAAGAGCAATGCATATGCTTAGTGATTATAACCATGTCCGTTCGGAGAAGAGTTCGTGAGACATCAACCGCCATCGACTCCCAGTTTTACGGACGTCTAGTAATAATGACCTCGCATCTCCTCGAACCTGGCATCTCTAAGCCGTGGGGGAATCACAGTGTGTACGGGCATGATTGGAGATCCGGTACCGCCGACGGACACTGTCGAGTTGCCACCGCTGGACAATGTGGGAGCTGCGGAGGGATCCGATGGGTAGACCGTCTGCGTCACGGTTCTGTGTACCGTCTCCATGACGGTGGAAATACCGCAGAATGTCGGTAGGTCAATCTGGGTAACGCTGTAGGTCCCGGGGTGATTGTGGCACGTTCCATTCTTGTGGCAGTGGTGGTCTGCCGGCGGGACGATGCTGCTGGTAGGGTAGCCGCCGTCACTGCCAGTCTCCTGGGCGGCCGTGGTGGTGGTGATAGGAGCCGGGTGGCCTGTCGGAGACTCGGTGACGGTGACGACGGTTGGCACAATTGTGTCGCTGCCCCTGACATAGATGGTCCGTGGGGGCTGCGTCTGCACAATGGTGGCAGTCGTCACCACAGGGCTAGCAGTGGCCGTGGCCGTCACAAACACCGTGGAGGCCGGGATCGTGCTTCCATCCGTCACGTACAATGTGCGAGTCTCTGTAACAATAGCCGCCGGAGCGGTGACGGTGACGGTCTCGGGTTTTATGGTGGACCCGGCCGTGACATACACGATCTGAGTAGGCACAGAGGCTGGCTGACTGACAACCGTATTTCCGGCAGACGAACCGGGCCCTGGCGCCTGAGTTACCGTGACAGTCGGCGCTGTGACTGTGTGCGTCTCCGTTACCGTGACTGCTGCCGGCCCAGTGGCGCCGGGCGGGCCGCATGCACATGTGCTGGGATCGATGTGTCGAGCATTGATGCCATGATGGAGAGCATTATGTCTCGCCTCAACTTGAGCGACCAAGGAGAGCACGAGGGCCCGAACCAGAGACCCGGAACGATATGAAGGCATGACTGGAAGGGTGAGGGTACGAGACGCGGGTTATGATTAAGGAATGACGACTCGGACGACTCGAGTGTCCTGGAGCAGAAGGAGGACTAAAAGAGCGACAAGAAGAAGATATCTACCTGTTTGATAGATAGGCGGGAACAAAGGCTTCGATTGATCTGGCAGAAGGTCTGGAAGAGCGGACGAAGGACGTTTATAGCCAGAGACTTCTGAGCAGGAGGCTGAGACCTTCATGAGAACCACGGGGAAGGGACCAGAGTTACTTGCCCTGGTTCCCACAATGGCATTTCTTTAATGTCATCCTGACGAATCACTGGCCGTCCTGTGCCAGAATCAAGCCCTTGAGAACGATGGTGCCGTCGAGGGAGTAGGTTTTTAAAAGGGCTGCGATGCCCTTTTCAAGAAATACACACATATTGTGCACCCTCTGTGGCTCTGCAATCTCAATCATTGCTGTGTTGTGAGATACAAGACCGATAGTGCGGCAATGATGCGAAGCCAGGGAGGGCCAAAGGGGGTTCTATTTAGGTGGGATGTGAAATCAGGGGTAATTTGCACTAGAAACACGCTGCGGGGGTGAAGCTAGCAGAGCCTGGCGCTGCGCTGGAACTAATATCCGCCACAGCCAATGAGAGGACACAGCTACTGGCGGGAAACGAGCTGTTGGTAGAAGTGAAGAAAGCAGGTACAGGGGGAGGTCCTGGTCCCTTTGCCGATACTGTACCTTGCCGAAAAAGATCACAGGTGATCTCCCGTCGTCAACATTGGAAGTGGACTGGGGTGAAAGCCCTGATATTTCCAGCCGACCTCCTCTCACCAGCGACATACGGCAGCCACCACGTTTCCTGTTGCTCTGCGGCACCTCCGATAGCCGGGCCAGGAGATCAATATCTTTCCCTCGATCACGAGCCACCTCCTGATGGCGATGGCACACCGATGCTAATCGCGCGCTGTTCCTTACGACTTTCTCCAGCTGCTTTTACTCCTACATGGGAAGGGTAAAGGATAGAGACGCTACTCCACCCATCACGACTCCCACCGAGGACCCTGTCTCCGCCACTTTTGCCTTCTTCTATTGAGGCACGAGTATACATTCAGTCGTTGTGTGCAGAGGATTACACTAGGAATGGGCATCTGCGCATCGTGTCTCGGCACTCGCCGCCGGGACTCTTATGACGAGGTACGTCGATTGGCCTCCCTTGTGACCAATTTCCTCCTCCCTTCCTCTTACCCACTGGCGTCCTCTACTCGGTGCAGCCCATGCTGACATTGTCTTTTCACGTAGGACGACGAATCACGACTACTCTTTGACGACGCCAGTGGCATGCAATACGGCAGCTTTGGGGAACAACAAATGAATGGTCAAGATGACCCACTGGAAACCCAGCGAGAGATTGAGGCTCTGCAGAGGGTGGTAGCACGCACCTCTGAGTATGCTCCAAATCTTCCCCGCGCTGGCTCCAGATCGGAAGCTGACATAGGATCGTAGTAACATGGTTGACATTTTCGAAATTGCACCGATTGAAAATCCACAGCGTACTGCCCCCACTGCCTATGCCCTCGCCGGCCAAGAGGCAAGGTTGATGCGCTATCACAGCTTGCTGTCAAAGCTGGGCTCTGAGGACGATACAGCGGTCAATGGGACGAAGCTTGATTGGATCGCTGCCGAGGACGATACCATGGAGTTGCAACGGAGTATGCCACCGATCAAGGCAGAGTCCGAGGATGCACTCGTGGGGAACTTTGCAGAAGCAGCGGCTGCAATGTCCTGATGCGATTTGATGGACGAAATAGTTCCCAGGACCATGGCACTGGGAACATTTTCCAATAATGACGACACCAACGACAACTACGCTGCTGCTGCTGCTGCTTGGAAACACGCCGAAAGCGGACATGTCCTTGAAGTCTCGTTCCTGCATACATAAACCTCTCATCAGCATATTGAATAAGTATGCGGTGAGATCAGACGTGGCACGATGAAGCTGCGGTTCCGATTTTTTGTGGCCCCCTTTAGATACCCGAGGGAGCAGGAATTCCCCGTCCCGCTCCTATCCCATTTCCTATGTCATTGTGGTCTCTAGTCTCCCAAGAGAGGGGTTGTTCGGGAAGATGATTTAGAGCCGGCACACTCTCCTAGCATTATACTGAATGGAATCAAGTGTTTCTTTGCTCTGGCTACATGTTCCCTTGACTGGTCTCTCCTAGGTCTTGTCCCCGCCAATCATGGCTCGCTACTGAATTCTGCTAGCAGACCCTCAACTAGGTCACGCCCATTAAGCAACAGCCACGTGCCACCCTGTTTGCTGATGTTGCTTCGCGGTGGAGACTAGTATGAAAAGTTGCAGTTCTAGCTTGTCTTTTGCTGCTTCTCCAGCGCCGGGATTTTAGTGTACTTTTCTCCGGCTTCGGTGGACTCCGGTCAGGGTCGGAGCCGGATGCAGATGGAGGTATGGGAGGCGTCTGTGAGACTAGACGAGGTCACACCTTGGGACTTCAAGAAGAGCTCTACAGCGGGAGTCTGTGCGCAGCGGCTGAGTCGACTGGGTTGTCGGAGGGCTGTCCTATGGAGAAGGGAGGGGGCGAGGGTAGAAGGGGGCCATGGCCAGGAAGCACGTCAGCCAGCCTGTTCCAGGCACAGTCTACAGCGAGCGATCCTGAGCCGACGCACAATGCAGGATCACTTGCTCTTACCTACTGAGTGGAGTGCCTGTGCAGTTCGTTCACCCACGGGATTCAAAGTACTTTCCTCCTAGCCCATGTCTTCTGTGCCAATTCTTTTGGTCATCTCGCTCTTTACGATCGTCACCGTTCATCTCTCCCCTCTCCTCGCCTCCATATCTGCATCGAGCCTCCTGCTTCGAGAGCCTACCAGATCCCCGACCTGCAGCGTCTCGCCTTCCCTCTTCCCGGCTTCTTGTGCCACTGGACCCCCTCACTGGCCTGTCTCTCCTATTCGTCGACCATGCCGTGTCTGCTGCTCCGGCCTACAGTCATACATCGAGCTGCCAGATAAGCAGTCATTTCCGCACTGTCTTGGATGCCATTTGTCGTGGGGGAAGACCTTGCTATTCTCTTACGCGGCACCAGTCGCTTGTCTCGGCTTGTCTGTCGTCCAGGCGATACACCGGAAGGAGAGGAGAGCAGGAGGTCTTGAAGACATCGTAGACAGCCCTGTTACTTTTAATGGTTCCGCCATAAGGAACGGACTTTGCAAAATACACAGCCCAGCGTTATAGAGATTCCAGTTCTACCGCTAGTGCCCTGTCCATTTTCTATCCCGGCCCCGTGGCCATGCTCCGGCGGAAATACAGGGCTACGGAGAATTTATGCCGCAAGATACAGCACACAAACGAGAGCCCATCCATTTTTCTTTCCACTGTTGCTACCAAATCAAGGCAACCTTTCTGCTTTTCTGTCTCGCGGTCACTACGACATACGTTAGTCACCACCCCCTGAATGGCTCCCCGCGGCCTTCCCGCGGACGGGAAACTCCATACTGTTAACTCATCCCATATTTCTCAATCTGTCGTTGTGCTCCGTCCATATCTTATTGATCGCCATTCTTATATCGTCCATGTCGTATTCTGTCTTCTCGATGGTCGCTTTTCTGTTGCCCTCCCGCCTCCAGCGCTCGACATCCTGTCGCATTTTGTTCCACCGACGCTCCTTTTTCTCGATCTGGTCGCAGAGCTTGCAATTGCCACTCTGATAGGTCGTATCATACACAAGCTTCAGCCCGCAAGTCTCGCCTGTGCGATATTCTTTCGTGCATTGTTGCCGGAAGTTTCCCCACTTCCAGTAGCCACACTGCCAGCGAGTCTGCTCGAAGTAACACATGTTTGGTCAGGGTCGGCAAGGGGCTGGTGGTACTGGATGACGCAGTTGGTCAGCAATCAGGCTTCAATGGTGTGCAGGCATTTCCATGCTGCTGTACAGTGAGCTTTCCCACAACCCCAGACACACTTACCAAGAGAGGGTTGGCTTCGCGGGACGTCGAAGTCTAAGTTGACTGCGGTTGATGAACTGACTGCGGCAACCAGGTAGTCTGCTCGACGAAACTCGATACCATTTGGGACTTGTGACTGCCAATTGCCTCCAGAGACATGGCGCAGATGTCGAGGCGGAGAGGGCGGATCATACTTATACTTTCTTGATCTTCCATGTGGGAAGGTGGATCGCTCGTGACAACGCACCGTTGCTTGATGAGGCTTGAGGATGCTGCGACCTGCATCCCGTTCCCGTCGACCACGATTTGCACGGCAGGGACCCTTAACTGCCCTTCCGGGGCGTTTGCTGCCAACCCTGGCTGGCCCGTTGGGTCTGCCGACAAATTAGCCCGTTACCTGCCGCCCAACTCTTGCATCTCGGACGCAATTTGATGGAGCCACGTTGATCGCAGCTACATATTACGACCGGTTTGAAATTCCCCACCACGCCATGCGCTCCTGACTGGGAATACTTTCACCTGGTGGCGGACAACTTCAGATTGGAAGAGAGAAGAAAGTGGTGTGTGTCCCATCTTTCAGATTCCTACAATTGGCTCGATTTCAGGCACGGTAAGAAGTTTTTCTCCCAACTCTCTTCCCTCTTTCCCACTACGCATGCAACCCCGGGTCCTCTTTCTAGTCATGTTATTGAGGCTTGCCCACATCACAACCCTGTCCTAGTCCGCTTCCCGCACGCTACCGCTAGAGGCCCGAGGGGATCGTCCCGTCTTGGGATCCTGCGGCCGTCCCGGTCTCCGCGCGGTTCGTCCCACATGGCACAAGTGTCAGGCTGGCTTGAGCATGGCCCTGGCGGCGACCTTGCACATACCCTTCTGATTCCTTATTTAACCTCAAAGTTTCTACGGCGTGGGAGGCATCGAGCATCTTACACGGTGGCATTCTCGCCTACAGACTATTTGTGAAGATCTTCAGTCCACCCACAAAATATTTCTATCTACCTTTCTTGCTACGGTGGCCATTGTCTAGTACAAAAGAAGGGGTTTGATGTAACATGGACGGGGATGCTGAGAGTGATTCGCCATTGCCACAGGCATCATCCCGCCTCAAGCTAGAGCTCATTGTGATTGGTCCCTGAGCCTGCCGGCTGTTACTGAAGAAAGGTAGTTCTACGCTTGACCTCTCTCCAAGCGGGAGAAAATATCACGGTGGCCACGGACAGCACATCTTGCAGCAGGAGACAGTCACAGTACAAGCCGGGGAAGCAGTGCTCCCCTACAAGGCGTAACTCCCGACTTAGCCGTTGGGAGAACCAGCCCTGGCAGGACGGCGGATCCGCGAATGACCGCGGCAGGCGAGAGGGGATGGCTAGCATGGCGTGCATTAGGCTCCTGTCGTGGCCATTGCCAGAAGAATAGCGCCTAACATTGCCTCCTTCTGGTAATAGCCTCTCTTCAGTCTGACCTCCGTCGATGATTTGACCTGCTCTGGGTCTCGAGCCCCCTAG